ACTGGGTCGGGTCAAAGCCAAGAGTGTGAAACTCCATCCAGGCCTCCCACGTGGTGACAGAGCCCCAGGCCACCTAGTCATCTTCAGCTGCTTTCCCAGGCACATTAGCAAGGAGCTGGATGGGAAGCAGAGCAACTGGGACTCCAACCAGCCCTCTGATATGGGATGTCAGTGTCTCCAGCTTCACCTGCTGTGCCACAACACCAGCCCCTCAACATGATCTTTGATGATGGCCTTGTTTACAGTTCTAAATTTGATAACCTGGGCTCAAATCTGTGCTTCACTTCTTACTGTGTGACCTTGGGCAGGGCAAATTACTTAAGCTCTCTATGCCTCCATAGCCTAACCTAAATAAAGAGAATATTAACAGTGCCCACTTTATAGAATTCCAGGGGGTAAGTGTGCAAAATATTGTTAGCTGCTCCATTTCTGGCATGTCTAGTATATAGTGAACACAATAAGAACAATAATGACAACTGTCACTTCAGTGTTTTGTGACTGCTTTTCATTGTTCCCCAGATATCTGTTTACTGCAATGTGAGAAATAGTCCAAAAATCAGCAGCTTAAAACAATAAACATTTTTCCTTTTTAAAATTTTTATTAATATAAAGATAACAGATTTCATGTATTTCAGATACAATTCTAAGATAACCATATTTCCCTCTCTTCCCCCCTCGCTCAACCCCCCTACCTTCTTTCCTTACATTTTTTCCTTTAATTTTTGCAATTTTTTTCATATTTCATATATACAGTTTTTTTTTTTTTGACAGAGTGGACAGTGAGAGAGAGAGAGAGAGACAGAGAGAAAGGTCTTCCTTTGCCGTTGGTTCACCCTCCAATGGCCGCCGCGGCCGGCGCACTGAACTGATCCGAAACCAGGAGCCAGGTGCTTCTCCTGGACTCCCATGGGGTGCAGGGCCCAAGCACTTGGGCCATCCTCCACTGTACTCCAGGGCGATAGCAGAGAGCTGGCCTGGAAGAGGGGCAACCAGGACAGAATCCGGCGCCCCGACCAAGATTAGAACCCAGTGTGCCGGCGCCGCAAGGCGGAGGATTACCCTATTGAGCCGCGGCACCAGCCCATATATACAGTTTTAAGAACATAGTGATACTCCCCACCATATCCTTCCTCCCTCCCTCACACACTCTCTCCTCCGTCTTGTCTTATTTTCCCTTTAATTTTTACAGTGACGTATTTTCAATTGTCTTTACAATCACAACTTTAACCCTCCATCAGATAAAGAATTCAGCAAGTGATGAGTAGAAAAACCACTGTTCCTGAAGAGTATAGACAAGGGCTGTAAACAATAATCAAATCCCAAAATGTCAATTTCACTCATATATATTACATTTTTGGTACTCTGGATATTAGTTATCACAAGTCAGAGAAAACATATGATATCAAATAGAAGAAGACACAAAAAAATGGAAAAATCTTCCATGTTCCTGGATTGGAAAAATTAATGTCATCAAAATGTCCATACTACGCAAAGTAATTTACAGATTCAAAGCTCTCCCAATCAAAATACCAAAGATATTCTTCTCAAATCTGGAAAAACTGACTCAAAATTTATATGGAAACACAAAAAGCCCTGATTAGTTAAAGCAATCCTAAACAATAAAAATAAAGTTGGAGGCATCATAATACCTGATTTCAAGACCTATCACAGGGCAGTTACAATCAAAACAGCTTGGTTCTGGCAAAAGAATAGACATATTGACCAAGCGAACAGATTCAGACCCCAGAATTAATTTATGCATCTACAACCAACCAATCTGACAAGCAAGCTAAAATCACTCCGTGGAGAAAGAGGTCTTGTCAACAAATGTTGCTGGGAAAATTGGATAAATAAGATCAGAGTTGCTGAACTCAAGAGGCTTCCATAATAAGAGCCTCAGGTGATTACTGACCTCATAAATAAGTGTCAATTGTTAAATCAATGGGAGTCACTGCACCTGCTCCCCATGTAGGACCTCTGTCCTTAATGTGTTGTACTATGAGAATTAATGGTAAAACTACTACTCAAACAATTCTCTATACTTTGGGTGTCTTTGTGGGTGCAGTCTGTTGAAATCTTTACTTAGTATATACTAAGTTGATCTTCTGTATATAAAGATAATTGAAAATGAATCTTGATGAAGAATGGGATGGGAGAGGGAGTGCGAGATGGGATTGTTGCGGGTGGTAGGAAGGTTATGGAGGGGAAGCTGCTATAATTCAAAAGTTGTACTTTGGAAATTTATATTTATTAAATAAAAGTTGAAAAGAAAAAAAAAAGTATAAACCAAGACCCTACCTTATACCCTATGTAAAAATCAATTCACAGTGGATCAAGGATCTAAATCTAAGACCTGAAACCATCAAATTACTAAAGAGAAACATAAAAAGAAACAATCTAAGGCACTGGTATAGTCAAAGACTTCTTGGATAGGACCCCAGAAGCACAGGCAATAAAAGCAAAAATAGACAAATGGCATTACATCAAGCAAAGAAGCTTCTGCACAGCAAAGGAAACAGTGGATGTTAGGGCCCCCTGGGGAGGAACTGAGGCCTCTGGACGCTAGCCATGTGAGCAAGCCTTCATAGAAGAGATCTTCCAGTGCTAGTTAAAACTCTACCAGTGACAGCCCTGGCCAGCTTCTCAACTGAAATATCATGAAAGAACCTGAGCAACTGCCACTCAACAAAGTAAAGAGGCAACTGACAGAACGAGAGAAAATACTTTCAAATTATACATCTGATAAAAGATTAATAACCAGAGCATAGAAGGAGCACAAGAATCTCAACAACAAAACAAGCAATCCAGTTAAGAAACAGGATAAGGATATGAACAGGCATTTTTCAAAGGATGAAATATAAATGGCCAAAAGACACATGGAAAGATGCTCAGAATCTCCAGCCATTAGGAAAATGCAAATAAAAACCACAATAAGGTTTCACCTCACCCAAGTTAGAATGGCTTTTATACAGAAATCAATAAACAACAAATGCTGGCAGGTATGTAGGGAAAAAGGTATTCTAATCCACTGTTGATGGGAATGTAAACTAATATAGCCACTGTAGGAGACAGTATGGAGCTACCTCAGAAATCTGATCATAGACCTACCATATGACCCAGCCATCCCACTCCTGGGAATTTAACCAAGGGAAATGAAATCAGCATAGTTCCTCACCATGAGGCCCTTTCCTCCACTGCTTGAGTACCCTGTAGATATGGCAGTAGCTTCCACTAGAGCAAACAGCCTAAAAGGGAGAGCAAGGAGGGAATTCTGATGCCTTATACAGCCTAGTCACAAACCATCCCTTCTGCCATATTCTACTCATTAGAAGTCGTTATTTCCTGCCCACACTCAAGGTGGGGGGACTATTCTCAACCTTCTTTAAGAAGGTATGTCAAAGAATTTGTTGCTTTATTTTTTTGCACCTTCTGTCCTTATTACTGGTTAGTCATTTTTCTGAAACTAATTAAGGCTTTTATTATCTTTAATATCAATAATGAAAGAGTACCTCAAAAAATTATGGAAAATGTAATAAAAAGTTTATTGTAATGCAAATAGTTGGGTCTTGTTACCAATATGGAAGACCTGAATTGAGTTTCAAAATACCAAGCATTTGAGGAATGAACCAATATAAAAGAGCAGTGCTCTCGTACTCACTTGCTTACTCTCTATATCAAATTAATTTTTAAAATACCGGTTATGCTAAGTTCTTTTAGCTTTTTAAGTATCTCCAACTCTCATTCACATGCTTGAGGGCTCTTTAAGAAGTTCATAGGAATGTATATATGAAAAATCTATATATGGATTTCAAAAATATTTTTGCAGCAAAATAAATTTATCTTCTAATTCCACTTGGACACAAACTTCTTGAGGTACCTCTATATCTTATTTAACTTTCTTCCTCTGGTGCTCTGACCTCACCTCCTCTTTGATTTTCTCACTTGGCCTGGAACTATAAAAATGGTGACTGGTGACTTATTATAAGTTCTGGGACTAGGAGAATGGGTGTTTCTTTGCTGCACCTCTGTCTTTACTCCACCTGTCACTGAGAAAGGATTCTGAAAGGCATTTAATTGTCTGTCGCTTGAGAAGGAAACTAAAGATATAGTATGTTGTATGTGATTGCCAGCTTATGTGTGCATCTTAGCAGTAGAAAAGCAGCATAGCTTAGGGGCTAAAGATTTCTCTAGGGTTAGGCAACATGGATTCAACTCCATTACTTAGTTCCTGGCAGTATACTCTTGGACAGATTATGTAACCTCTCTGTTTCTTGTTTGAAAAATGGAGAAGGAATGCCCATTATTTTACATACCCTTCCTAAAGGCTTATGAAGATCAAATGACATAATATGTGTAAAGCCAGAGTGTGACATCTAATAGGCAATTAGTTATTTTATGAACAGACTGAGAACTCACTGAAATGAATTGTATTTTTCTTTGCACTCTCTCTGTTTCCCTGGTTGGTGCCACCTTTTCCTCCAGTCCTGACAGCACAGTGTCAGGCACATAATGAATTGTTCACCTTGAGAGATCAAGGATCTGGCCAGGACACGAGCTGGCAAGGCCAGGCCAGGCCTGGAAGTGTACATGAAATGAAAGAAGGTAATAACATAGGAAGAAATGGGAGGACAGAGGAGCAATGGGATTGGGGAAACCTGGTGCACATTCCAAATCCAAGAAAGAAGAGAAAGTGAGCAAGTGAACAATAAGGTCGAGAATCAGAGAGCTCCATGAGAAATGGCATTCGTAGAAACTCATTATCTAAAGCTTGTGAGTGATATTGGTATCAGGAACAAGTATCAAGATGGGGTACACATTTCCTTCAATAAATGCAGGTGGGTCAGGAGGTGGACATACACACACACACACACACACACACACACACCAGAGATGAACATTAGTCTGAATTAACAGTGCACTCCTTACTGATCATTAGTGTTATGGGGAACTTTAAAATGAGTCCATCTATTTAATGCATTCTTTCTTGTTTTCTTCATTAGATCCCCTCAGCAGAGTATGTTTAAGACCCAAAAATGTAACTGACTCATTGAGCACCTATATTAATGCTAATTATATTAGGGTAAGTAAATAAATATAAATTTCTTCCTGATGAGCATGTCAGCTTACTATTTGGAATTTTTTTTTTTTTTTAGAGTAGATTAAGTTTGATTTAACTTGTTCACTGGAGGTTTGTTGTTGTTGTCATTGTCACACTCAACACTAGTGGTGAGTCCACCCTTAATATGAGTCTATGGCCCTACACAGATGCTCTGATGAGGACTGAGCATTAACTACCTCCTACCATAGGCTGTACTTGACTCACTGGAAAGAAGAACCATGTGAACTTGGGGCTACAGTCAGTGAACCTGACACTGACTGTTGCTATCAGGGAGCTCGGTTTTTTGCGCTAAAGATCTTTTCCCTACACATTCACTGCACGGAATGAACTTAAAGCCAATATTTTTTGTCTCTTTACTTCAACCAGGGCTACAGTGGCAAGGAGAAAGCATTTATTGCCACACAGGGCCCCATGATCAACACTGTGAATGACTTCTGGCAGATGATTTGGCAGGAAGACAGCCCAGTGATTGTTATGATCACCAAACTCAAAGAAAAAAATGAGGTATGATCTTCAGTCAAGTTCTAAATATTACCCATGTCCTATTACTATAGAAGAGATGTTATATAAGGAAAATCACCATGTACATATAACTGATTTGTTTAAATGGAAGCTTTTGGACATTTAAAGACTTGATCCTTTTACATTTCCTAATAATGAAAATTGATATTATCCTATGAATGGCAACTTCTTTTAGACAAGTCAGTATACCTGGTAGATACATACCTCATTTGTATCTACATGTCTCAGTAAGAAAATGAGGGGCCATGAATTTCAGCCTAATTTATTCCCAGAGAAGTAAAAAATCATTCATCATATCCAAAGGAATTTTTGAGCATCTACTACATGACAGATGTCATTCTGGTTGTTGGAGATAAATATATTAGTAAATAAGACATACCAAAATCCCTGCCCTTGGCATATCTTAGCTCTTTAGTGGGGGAAGATAAATAGCAAGAAATAAGCATAGTAAATTCATAGATAATGTAGTCTATTAGAGGGGATACATGCCATAGGGGGAAACAGTAGACTAGGACAAGTGCATTAAATATGCTGGCCTAGAGACAGAGGCTGGGGGAGAAAGAGTTGACTGTGCCATTAAATAGGGTGGCCACGGTGAACCACATTTAAACAAAGTGAGATCTGGAGAGGAAAAGGGAGGAAGTTATAATAACCAAGCAACTCTTTCAATATTTTCATAATAAGAAACTCAATAAAGAGACAAAAATCAGATTCCATTTCCATATTAGTAGTCTTTGCTAAGGATCAAGCTTTCACAATACTTATTCTGTATTTTGCATCATCAGTAAAATAAAAGTGTGTAACTACTAAAGTTTGCCATCCTACCCACTGCTTATGTTTTAGTGCATCTTATTGGGATAATTTAGAGTCTGACTTCAGCATTTTAGCATTTATGTTTTTTTCTTGTCAAAATTACTACATGAGGCTTTTACCAGATCCACAAGACTTCAGAAACACTGAGCTTTCCCTGTGTCTTTCTGTGAGTTATAAGCACTGAGTATAGTATAATCTTGCTCTTAATTAGATAGAATTAAGCCTGATAGAATCCATGCTAACCGGAAAGCAATTTGTAAGTTTTTCAAACTTTGCCCTTTTTTGTTTCCATTTCGGCTGCAACAGATGAAATGTGTTTTTCTGAAATTTAATTTTGGAACCCAAGTCTGTTTGTGGCCAACAGATGAAGTTGCATTCTTAATTCACTGTGTAGCTTACTAATAAGTGCATTTCTGTGAATCTGATCTATAAAGCTGGAGGTGGCGCAGCCACTAATACTCTTCAGTTGTTTCACACCCAGTGCCATTCTGTCAACACATCAAGACTGTGACAATTCCTGCACAGCTGTTTGACATATATGACATTTTACCTTTACAGTGGGAGAGACTGTTCAAGTTTACAAGCTGTGTTCTCTGTGTACATACGTGTCTGCATGCGTGTGTAGAACTTATGTAACATGGCAGACTCTGGAGCCTGGGATAAACTCCCACTACAAAGTCAGTTCCAGTGGATCAAATAAAAAATAGCACCCATAGCAGAGCTTGGGCAAAAAGTGAAAGAAATTCCAGTGGACAAAATGGAGTAAAATGTGTAAATCCAGAGAATAATACCTTACTTGTGTTGTAATGCCCAAGTAAGCAACAGAGACAAAATCAGGGCTTGCAGGAGCCAGGAGTTACAAATGAGACTTTACATAAAGTGAGCACCAGCAAGGGCTACACCTTCAGTGTAAAGGTTGACCATAAAAATGAATCTCCTCGGGGCAGATTTGAGACTACTCGGTGGATACCTGCTTCCTACATTGGAGTATCTGGATTGGAACCCAGTTCTGGCTCCTGTATCTAGCTTCCTCCTAATTCAGCCCCTAGAAGGCAGCACTAATGTCTCAAGTAGTTGGGTTCCGGCCACCCCATGGGAGACCTGGGTTGATTTGCTAGCTGCAGCCCCAATCAGGTCATTACAGGCATTTGGGAAGTGAACCAGGTGATGGGAGTGGGCTCTTGCATTCTCTCTCTCTCTCTCTCTCTTTTTGTGTGTGTCTCCCTGTCTTTCTCTGCATTTTTCTGCCTCTCAAATCATACATTTAAATAACTAGTCTGCCTGTCAAAATAAGACTATAACTAGAAGTCAATCTAAGTTTGACTTTCATGTGGCTTAAAGAAAAATACTGTTGATTATTTAAAGCCAAGAAATTTCAGAATTCAAAAACCAGAAAATACCAGATAGAGTAATGAAATAATAGCATGTTGGTTTCATTTTTTTTACTTTTTGTAGAAATAAAGGCAAAACCTTTCTAGATGCATCACTCTCAGCATATACCTGATAGAATTGCCACAGAAAAACTCTGCCAAGTGTAATCTCACAGTTGAAATTATAAGACACACAGGTAAATAAAATACCATAAGGAAAAATCAGAAGAAGCAACAAGTAGAACTAGATCTACAAGAAATTAAACTAATAAAATTACAAATATTATAAATAGAGGCTTTTAAAATAATTGAGCACATAAAACAAAATAAATAATTTGGCAAACAAAGAAATATGTTACTATTTAAAAAGACACAAAAGATTTTCAAATAATCAAAAAAAAAACAACAAAAATAGATGTTAAAGTAACAGGCTTTTAAGGCTGGAATTTAGACAAGTTTATAAGGCTAGAAATAACTGAATAAGTAAGTCATGAATCAGAATACATAGTTTTAAAAATTACCTAGAAAATCAAAATGATCAAAAAAATAAAAGCTATGGTGGAAGGGAGGTGGGGAGGAAAGGAGAAATATCACTATGTTCTTAGAATTGTATCTACAAATCACACTGCAGCTTTTAAAAACTAGTTAACAATTTTGAAAGTATGAAAAAACAAAATTAAAGCTAAAGAGACATAGAATTTCCACCAAAAAATACATAAAAGACATAAAAGTACATAAAAATACATAAAAGTATTTAGATGTCCTACAATGGTTTATGGTATTTTAGAGGAAGAAAGAATTGAAAGAGGTATTGAATGAAGAAGATTTACAGTAGGAAAAAATAACTCAGTTGTTGGAAGCAGTAAACAAAGTATAATTCATCTTAGAACAACCTGAACTCTGTTCTCAGTGCTTCTTTCCTCCTAGGGGAATTACCCTCTTGAGATTTGTCTAAATGAAGGAGATCAAATCTGTGAGCAACAAAATTTCTTCTCATTTATTATAATATGAAAATCGATTTTTCAGTTCCATTTATTCATTTTTGGTTCATTCTCTTTTTATAAAAAGTGAGAGTATCGGATTATTAAATAAAAGATGGCAATCAATCCTTTTTTATTTATTAGAAAGTAGAAAGGTTCATGAAAGCATAAAGCCTGGGAACTTGTAAAGATAACACCACCTACGTTTTTTTTTTAGAGGAAATGATTTTTGTCTATTCCAAACAATGACGCTTAACACAATTGAAAGTTGGCACATTTTTGATAAACAGCATTTTCCTGGTAGTGTGAAGTCTACTGTGTATTTCTTTTAAACCAAACTTGTCACTATCATTTTGATCTGTAAAATATCAAAGCTCCTCAGTAGTATGACGTATATTTACATCTTGGAGAGTCAAGGCAGAATGGAATTTTTTTTTCATTGAAAGAGTAATGAACAATAAAAAGAGTCAACATTTTTATCACAGTATTTGTGACTATGACTAGCTCCAGGAAGAAACAAGCAACACATCATACACAGAAGTCATAAAACATATTGTGTTTGACGGTGATGTCCCCAAAATATGTGTATCAGAGGTTTTAAAAGACTGGAAGCTAAGACAGATGAAATAAATAAGTCAGCATAAGAAAACACTGTGCCAATTTGAACAATATAGCCTAAGAGCAAAACAGAAACCTCAACTATCCTTTCATGTAGGAATTATTTTTAAAAATCACTTTCTTATTAGTAGATACTTAGATTGTTTCTGGTTTTCTGTCCTCATCTCTGATTAGTTCCTGAAGACCACTTTCTAGAAGTGAAATGACCTGGTTAAATGATGTGAACTTTGGAAACAACATGGTCCCTGTGTGTTCTTTAGATACCTGTCTAATTGTACCATCACTTTCAGAATCAGGAATTCTCCAGCTAACCTAAATGACATTCAGTGCATATTTCCTTCTGAGACAGTAGCTCATGTTGCATTTGATTTTGTATAGGATTTATTCAATTGACAAATATTTATCACAATCTACTACCAAGCATTAGTGTAGATACTTGAATTGTGTCTTTATTGACAAAACCAACAAAGATTCCTCCCATCATAGAGTTTACAATCGAAAAGGGGGAGACACAATGAATAACTATTATATATAGTTACATACAGTGATGTCAGCATTCTATATATCTGTTATTTACTACATATCACTGATTTTTCTATAGAAAAAAGAAAACATAGGGTAAAAGAAATGGGGGGGCAGTTTGCAATATCAAATCAGATGGTGACTGCGGGCTTCCTAATCAAAACAGATGAGGGAGTGAGATCTGGCGCAAGGCAGAAGAAACAGTGACAACACCCTGAGACTCCTGGCATGTTTGAGGAAGGGCAAGGAGGCCAGCTGGCTGAAGTTAAACTTGCAAAGGGGAGAGTGGTGGAAGATGACTTCAAAGACATAACTGTTGCTTGGAAATAATTTACTGAGGCAGATCGGATACCAGGGCAAACATCACATGGTTTAGTATCAGAGCTAAAGTTGAATTTCTGGTCCTGTCTCAATCTGACCTTCTGTAAAATGGGAAAATATAATTTCGTACCTTGCAAAGATGTTGAAAGGGATCAACATAATTTACATATGGGTAACTGTATATTGGGATGTGCTATGCTAATATTAGTTACTATTGCTAATAGCCTAACACAAATATTTTTAAATTTGTAGATAACAGCCTGAAAAAATCTTACAAATGCAAAAGATGACAAGTAATGACCTCATTAAGTCAGTTTACAGCTACTCTGGGTGTTTTTGCTTAATTAAATACATCCCA